ACTTGGCAGCAGATTTTTGTTGATTGTGTTATTTATGTTTCTTGTCGTTTACTGGTCAATACGATAACTTATTACAACCCCAACTAGTAGGATTTTATGTAAGTAATTAGCTAGCTGCATTAATTATCACCAAACTTATCTTGCTAACATAAGATGCCTGCAGGCAACTACAAGGTTTACACACCAAGAGTTTAAATCAGCGTGATAAATTTATGATAATGACAGTCAGCGCTCTCTTTTCGCATATGCGATGCACTACTCATAAATCAGGAACACATGGATGAGAGCAGTTAGTCAACTGGTGCAAATCGACAAACTTGCCATGAATAGCCTAGTGGATAAAGATATGGACTTGTGACTGAAGAAGTTAAATGCAAGATGTTTTCAAAATCACAGTCACTAAATTTATTCTGTGGACCCATGTTCCCTATTTAAATTCTGTCGTACAGGCCAAAATTGTGTAACATTATAAATCTTTAAATCAGCTTGAAACTTGTTTAAAAACGGTTGCAACTCAATGCCGTGCGGGTTTTAAAAAATATTGAGAAAGTATTAAAAAAGGTTAAATTTAACCTCTGGATTTCTGTATATACCCTGTTGAGTTTGATCTTGGTAGTAAAGCCTGTATTTCACCTTTGATACTAAGTTATGTCTTTTTGCTCGAGGTGCACGTGGTTCAAAGGGGGAGCAAGGTATCAAAGGAAATGCAGGCCTTCTGGGGATTCCGGGTATAAAGGGAGAGAAGGGGCAAAAAGGAGAACAGGAGATCCTAGGTGAGTTATTGTTATGTGACATATATTAGATGATGATACAAAGGAGCACCAACTCATATTTTTTCTCCTTTCTTCACTCTAAAATGCGTAATTACGTATTCAGATAAACATTTACAACGATATTTTACAATTGTAACAATTAACATTTAGCCTGCCTTGACAATTACTTGACAAATCACTCCATCTTGCTTGATTAGATTTAATACTAACATTCTCAGTTCTCAAATATTCTCAATATTTAATACCATCAATCTCAATTCACACATTTTATGAGCAAAAATATGGATTATGATGTTGTGAAGATAATCTGAAGATATCATATGCAAGTTCTAGAATAAGGATATGCATTAATTGGAATTGCAAATTGAAATAGATAAATGTGAATTAGTTTAAAACATCAACTTAGGAAGAGCAGTATGTTTAATCAAAAGTGGTACAAGAGAACTTCACAGTACAGGATGCCATTTTCTGGTTGTTTTCCTCTCTGCCAAATGTACATTGGTAGGTGCATAGAGCAATTTCTGCAATTTCTGAGGGGGTTGTTAATAATTTACAGCGGCTTTGGTGTTAAGGAAATTAATAACAGGTGCACTAGAGGGGCAACAATGAGACGACCCCCAAAACAGGAATGATTTAACAGGTGGAGGCCACTGACATTTTTCCCTCGTCATCTTTCCTGATTGTTTTTTCACTAGTTTTGCTTTTAGCTACAGTCAATGTCACTACTGGTACCATGAGGCGATACCTGAACCCTACAGAGGTTACACAGGTAGTCCAACTACTCCAGGATAGTGCATCAATTTGTGCCATTGCCAGAAGGTTTCCTGTGTCTCCCAGCATAATCTCAAGGGTATGGAGGAGATTCCAGGAGCAGTTACTCTAGGAGAGCTGGGCAGGGCCATATAAGGTCCTTAACCCATCAGCAGGACTGGTATCTGCTCCTCTGTGCAAGGAGGAACAGGATGAGCACTGCCAGAGCCCTACAAAATGACTTCCAGCAGGCCACAGGTGTGACTGTCTCTGAACAAACAATCAGAAACAGACTTTATGAGGGTGGCCTGAGGGCCCGATGTCCTCTAGTGGGCCCTGTGCTCACTGACTGGCACCGTGGAGCTTGATTGACATTTACCATAAATACCAGAACTGGCAGGTCTGCCACTGGTGCCCTGTGCTTTTCACAGATGAAAGCAGGTTCACTCTGAGCACATGTGATACACATTAAACCAGGGGTCTCCAACTCCAGTCCTGGAGAGCTGCTAACCAGTAGGTTTTCTATTCTACCTGGCTTCTGGTGAGCCACACTAGTTCTTAGGTAAATACCAGGAGCAGGTGTGGCTCATCAGAAGCCAGGTAGGATAGAAAACTTACTTGATAAGTACAGTCTTGAGAAGCCGTGGAGAATGTTATGCTGCCTGTAAAATTGTTCAGCATGACTGATTTGGTGGTGGGTCAGTGATGGTCTGGGGAGGCATATCTATGGAGGGACGCACAGACCTCTACAGGCTAGACAACGGCACCTTGACTGTCATTAGGTATCGGGATGAAATCCTTGGACCCATTGTCAGGCTCTACGCTGGTGCGGTGGGTCCTAGGCTCCTCCTGGTGCACAACAATGCCTGGCCTCATGTGGCAAGAGAATGCAGGCAGTTCCTGGAGGATGAAGGAATTGATACCATTGACTGCCCCCCACGCTCGCCTGATTTAAATCCAATAGAACACCTCTGGAACATTATGTTTCGGTCCATCCAATACCACCAGGTTGCACCTCAGGCTGTCCAGGAGCTCAGTGATGCCCTGGTCCAGATCTTGGAGGAGATCCCCCAAAACACCATCCGTTGTCTCATTAAGAGCATGCCCCGACGTTGTCAGGCATGCATACAAGCACGTGGGGGGCCATACAAACTACTGAGTACAATTTTGAGTTGCTCCAATGAAATTTCAGCAATCTTTTCACTTTGATTTTCAGGGTGAGCAGGGAGCAGGGAATCAGGATCAGGCAATGAAGAATATGGGGTTTATTAGGTTAAACGAGCAGACAAGGCAAAACACGGCAAACGACGCCAATGACGGAAATGGGGATACGTACTCTAACGTGGACTTAAATACATAGGACTTAATGAAACAAAAAGAAACAGCTGATAACATCGGGATTTCACGTGAGGTTAACAAGGGGGCCGTGGCACACAGGAGGATCGTACAAGCCGAGCGTGACAGAAACCCCCCCCCCCAAAGACACGCACACCAGGCGTGCCTAAGGGGAGCAAAGAGACGAGACCGGGGACACGGGACCTTGAAAACAAAAGCAAAACATCAACGGGGCACTGGGAACAGGACAGACGCGCAGAACAGACACAAAGGCAGTAACCAAGACAACAACTGACAAATGACGGGGAAAGCAAACAGGTACAGGGGCACCAAAAATGGAGACACAGGGGGAATACCAATCAGGAAGAATGAAGGGGCCAGGAGTGAACGACGGTGAAACAGAAGGACGAGGAGCAGACACAGGGGACACAAACCAGCAGGCTGGAAGACAGAAGATGGGGGAAAACGGGGAGCCCAAGGGAACCCCAGCGGGTGAGAGGTGGCAGCTGTAGGGGCAGCAGGCGACCTGGAGGCCGGAGCTGGAAGACCTGCAGGTGACTGCCGAGCCCTAGCCACAGGGACCGAGGGCGAGCCAAGGGGCAGGGCGGGCGGGACACGTCCCCAGCGCAGGTGTCCCCGTCCGGTGTGCGAGACCGAGAGGCAGGGACCCGGTCGGAATCGACCATGCTGGGGTGATGGTCGGGGTAACCCCCCAGAGGTTCTCATCAGGGAAGTCAGGGCAATCTCCGAGGGGTCCCATTCGAGCTCCTTCTCCATCTCCAATAAGGGAGGAGGAGCGGTGGTCCGACAGTCGGGGACCTCCTCGGGGACATGAGCCAGGGGCATGGGAGCAGAATCCAGGGAGTCAGGGACTGGAGCCTAAAGGAGCAGAGCAGGAGTCACAGTTACAGGGTCATGAGTCACAGGAACAGGATCATGAATCACAGGAATATCGGGGAATGGATCATCATCTGCTGGCACAGGAACAGCAGAGGGTGGCGCAGCGACTGCCGGCACAGGAACAGCTGGGGGCAACACAGCGACCTCGGGTGGCGGCAGCGGCACAGAAACCAAGGGCGGCGGAGCTGGAGTTTGCATCCTGGTAGCCGGCGCTGCCCCTTTAAGGACCTTGTGGACCCACGGCATAGCAACAAGAAACAGCTGATAACATCGGGATTTCACATGAGGTTAACGAGAGGGGTGTGGCACACAGGAGGATCGTACGAGCCGGTCGTGACAGTGTCTTTGAATTCAGCCTTCTGTAGGTTGATAATTTTCATTTCCATCAAATGATCTGGCATACTGTCCTTCCTAATATATTACTCTGTCCATATCAGTATACAAATCTAGCATGATTTTTTTCCCGTTGAGATCTGATGTGTTTTCAAAGTGTTCCTTTAATTTTTTGAGCAGTGTATATTACATTTCGATAAATTGCCTATTGATTTTCATATGAAGTACAGTTATTATTGATATGAAAGTAAAATTAAAAGAATAAGGTTAAATGACTAACAGACGAGGTGTCATGGTTAGCACTTTTACAGACCCTCTGACACTTAGACACAGAAAAACTTTGTCAATTTTTTTTTTAAAGTATCACAGTGAGATCCATGCTTTTGCCATTGTATTTTTCTTAGATAAGCAACTCTTGACACTATTGAACAATAGTGGACTAGAGGGATCTTCTCTGCGTAGAGACATGCAGGAGCTGCAGGTTCGCTTCACTAACCTATGTGAAGGATCAGGAGGGATTAACTGGCTAAAACTTGAGTTAGGTAATGTGAACATAAGCACCCAACTCCTGAAGAACCAACTTAACAGTTTGAGCCTCAAATCAGGTGAGACATGCATAACTGATATATTTGGTATAAACGCTAGCCAACAAGATCTGCAAAGATTTTTCCATTTACGCAAGATTTTGTTTTGATTATTACAGGTATTAAGATTAGTAGTTCCTGGTAATTCAGTGTGTTACCTTTCGGTCTGCCTTGTAATCGTAGTAGAACTTGCTGCCTCATAGCTTGCTTTACTTAATGTTTATTCATCATTTCCCTAAAACTACAAATTATTCTGTGTGTGGTGATATTTGCTTTTAAGGAGATTTTAAAAAGCACATAATTATAAAGTTGTGACCTCATTAAGAGCCATGTGTGACACTGTAGGTCCACCTGGACCCATGGGACCCAAAGGAAATCCTGGAGTTACAGGTGAATATTTACCATTTTTTTATTGTTCACATGTCCTAACTGGGGGTGACACAGTGGTGCTGTGGTTAGCGCTGTTGCCTCACACCTCTGGGTTCAATTCTCTGCCAGGGTTCTGTGCGTCGAGTTTGCATGTACTGTGTTATCATGGGGTTTTTCTGGGTGTTCCAGTTTCCCCCCACAGTCCAAACAAATGCTGAGGATAATTGGAGTTATGAGATTGCCAATAGATGTGCATGTATGAGTGAATGGTGTGTGAGTGTGGCTTGCAATGGGTTGGTGTGCCATCCTGGGTTGTTCCCTGCCTTGTGCCCATAGGTTCCAGATCCCCCATAAGCCCGAACAGGACAAGCAGTTACAGAAAATGGATGGATCTATGTCCTAACTGCATATAATCACTATTCTTTAAATATTTCTTTTTACAACCCCATTTCTACAAAAGTTGGGATGCTGTGTAAAATGTAAATATAATCAGAAAGCAATGATTTACAAATCATATAAACCCATATTTAATTGAAAATAACAAAGATAATATATCAAATGTTGAAACCAAGAAATTGTTTTTAAAAATATTTCATTTGTTTATTGTGCACTTTTTAAAATCTGCTTGCACTATGTTTACTTTAATTGCACTCTGTGTACTGTCTTTGTACCTTGTCTGTTTGGTAATATAAGTATGCAGACACCATAGGGATATTGATTTCAGGGAGACAGGTGAGGGGTATCCGGGAGGGTTGGGTTCTGGCCAGTGTTACGGTCATACCATGTCTATATTGCCAACTTGGGTGGTAGAGGGTGGGGGGAAAAACTGCTGACCAGGGCTAGAGAGTAGTGGCAAAATTTGGGGCGAGGTTGCAGTGGTAAAACTTCTTGCCAGCTCATTTAACCACTGCTGAATAGCAGAACAACAGATTTCCGAGACATTGTGCATCATTTGCAGGTGTCGGGGAGGTACTGTCAATTTGCAGAAGACCACCAGAACTTCCGGGAGGGGTGGGATGGCTGTATATCTGTCTGAGTACTATATTCTTGCTGCTGTATGCATCAAATCTTAATCTAATATTACTGTTTAACAAGTTTTAATCCATAGAACAGGTACTGTTGCTGAGATATTAAGTTATTTTAAGTTAATTGCCTTGTGAATTGCAGATTAGTAATGAATCATCAACGCAAGATTTGCTGCAACCTGTATTTGATCCTTTGTTTTGAAATTGTCTTCGTGCTTTAGGTGTCCGTGGTCCAAAGGGCGATCAAGGTGTCAAAGGTTCTGATGGAAGTCAGGGGATTCCAGGAATCAAAGGGGATAAGGGACAACTGGGGAACCAAGGTGAGCTAAGAGTTACATACCTGATGATGACCTTCAATGCTTAGTCATTTTCATAAAAAGATTAGACTGTTAATCTGAAAAAATGATGAATATGGGGTGATGTAGTGTCTCAATTGTTAGTATTGTTGCCTCCTACCTTCCAGGGCCATGGGCTGAAATCCTTTCCATACTTGTATGTGAAGTTTTGTGGGTTTGTTGCTGCAATCCAAAGACATACAGCTAGGTGAACTGGCATATTTAAATTGCACATGGTGAGAGCATGCAATGAACTCTAGGATGTTTTGCTGCTTGGGATAGACTCCAGGTTCCCTGTGATTCTGTACTGGATACATTGGATGGATGCTTTTGAAGTAGATTTTAATTGTGTGGCTGAGTTTGCCCTGTGCAGAATGAGCAAAGGAAGAGAAATGTAATCATACCTCTGGCATTTCTATTGTGTTTTTATAATAAAATCACATGACAAATAATCTTTGAAAATTTCACAAATATAAATCAGGACTATGTTAATTTGACTTCCTTTGCTGGCCTAGGGAGGATGCTCCCCCTTTGAGTTTGGTTCCTCCCAAGGTTTCTTGCTATTGGGGGGTGTTTCCTTGCCACTTTCACCTCTAGCTTACTCTTTGGGGGCATTGGGCAGGGATAAGGTAAAGCGTTTTAAGATTTTTATTTTGTAAAAATGCACTATTAAAAATAAAAGTTGAACTGAATTGAAAGGGAATGAAAAAGGCTCACTTGGAAAGAAATTAGATCTCTGCTACATCTTGGAAATGCCAAGTCTGCACACACATACAGTACACACACATTTACATGAATGTAACAGTTTTATTACCTTGTAAATAGTCTGCAAGGTTTGCGCTTTTGATGTAGCTAATTTTAGGTTTATAATGGAATAATATAGATTTGCCATAAGATTTCTTGCCCGAGCATGAGAGTCTGAAAGCATGAATGTCACACCGTGAGTATTGGCAACCCTGGGAATCCTGCCAGCCATTTGAAATATTATAAATTCTCCATCAACGTTATGTATATGTGTAAAATGGATATTGTTTATTAATGTGCTAATGTCCACATACAAAACAATGTTATTGCCATTAATACTGTAAGGACTTACAGTATATATCTATGTGGGTTGGTTCTTTGATGTTCTAGTGTTTACTGATGTTGTTCCAGGCATAAAAGGGGAACAAGGTCTAAAAGGGTCATGTGGAGAACCAGGTGAGCACATTTTATCTAGAAAGGATATTTAACAAACACTGAGATAACCACAGAAAATTATTTTATAATTTTTTCTCTTTTATCACAGTGTAGTTATTGTCTTGCTAGTGAGTCTGCAAGAGTATAAGGGGAAATAGAGTAAAATTCTGAAGTTGCAAATGCACATAAAGATGTCCAAAATGTGTGTCACAAATTTTTACTTAAAATCCCATATTTATGAAACAAAACCTGATGGGAAAAATGCAAATTATTACAAAATCTCAGGAGGAGGCGTACGCAATGATTTGGACAAACCAATATGATACTTTCCAAAGGGACACACAGAGGGTATAACATAACCCCACCTCTAGGTTGGGTTCAATGTAGTGCATCTCTTTTTCTCCAGGGGCCAAAGGAGAGAAGGGAATTAGTGGCACCAGTGGGCCCCGAGGTTTCCAAGGAGAGAAAGGGATAAAAGGAGACAAAGGAGAGATTGGACAGTCTGGTAAGCCTAAGCAGGATCTGCTTTTCACAATGAAGAATGAAGCTATTTAAGAGGCAGGATTTTTTTATACTAGCCAAGAGGTATAATGTGGAAAATTTCCAAAATCACACAGTCCACAGAATAAGTTTTCAAAGAAATTTTAAGAGTTTTAGAAATTTAATGAAATAAATGTGGATTAAGCGTGTTTTTGTTTCCCAATACTGTGACATATGGTGAGGAAGCCTGACTTTAGGTCATTCCCCACTAACAATTTTTTATTTTAGGAACATTTACAGAATGTTATGGTAAGGTATTATAGCATTCAAAGTGTCCAGTTTTCTGGATGTTCCCAGAATGTAGTCCACCACTACTACCACTATTAGCAAGCAGATAAATGTGTGATCAAGGGCCTGGTAGAAGAGTGGGTAATGCTTTACACCTCTAAGTTCATAGGTTCAAGACTTGTGTTTGCAATGTAAATTTATGTCACGATAAAACTTTTATTATAAAACATGTTATGTTCAGGTAATAATGTCATTGTGCTAACATTGATAGAACCTTTGTTAAAATATAAAATGTGGAAATAGCATTTAATTAACATTACAGTAAGAACATTCTCTGCCAACTTTGAGAAGACGTTTACATAATGTTGACTGTTAACATCTCATGTCAAAAACAGAAAGTGGACTGAGTGAGTTTTGGAAATTTACTCCTCAATTCTAGGCTCAGTCACAAATAAGAACAGATGTTGTCTGTGTTGAAGAGAAACAAGATTAAATATAGCTGCATTTAGTAATTTCAGGATACAGCTATATGGTTATATTGAAAAGAAGTATAGCACAAGAAGTACAGTAATATACCATTTTGGCTTCAAAGAAGTATCAGAATGATAATCAGATTTAGCATAGTTACATATGTGCATACAGTACAAGGAATTTGGCATAGTGTATCAGTACAGTCACAAGAACAAGCATACAGTAGATAATAGTATCACCCAGTAAATACGATAATAAGGAAAGAGGTTGAAGCTGTGCAAAAGAGCAATAAAAACAAGACATTACAGAATAAAATAAATAATGACCTGATCATACAGAACCTGTGTATATAAATAAATAAATCAGATGCTGGGCAAATTAGTGTCCTGGGGAGGTCTGAACCATGTTATTGAGTTTGATAGCTAAGTAGACTTATAGCAACAGCAATTTGGTACCTTTTTTTGACTTTTTCTATGTCTGCATGACTTTATACATTGCGCTGCTGCCACATGATTGATTGATTTAGATATTTGCATGATCAAGCAGGCATACAGCTGTACCTGATAAAGCAGCAGGTATGTGTATAAGTATGACAACAGTCAAAGAGTCTGAATTTTCTGTATCAGTACGAGCAGCAAATGTAAGAATTGCTGGAGGAGGTTCCCAAGGACGCGTGGAGGTGTTTTACCAAGGCCAGTGGGGTACTATTTGTGATGATAGCTTCGACGTCACAGATGGAGGAGTAATCTGTCGAATGTTAGGCTACCAAAGAGCCGTCTCTGTGTCCACTGGGGCAGCAGGTAGGTCAAAAAGATTATCACTTACAATAATAATCAATTGGTTCCATGTGTTTTTTTTGTAACAAAAAACTATTATCAGAAGAGAATTGTCATACTTACTATTTTACCTTTCTACTATGCTTTATACTAATTGTCATATTAAGTAAATCAGATTTGTTGTTGTCAATAGAGTCAACAGTGAGGCAAGGTTTTAAACACTGTTAAATTGCAATTAGTTGTGGCTGGGTTGAAAAAATATGCCCTAGTACAGGCAGTCCCCAGGTTAAGAACGTCCGATTTACGGACAACTCGTACTTAAGAACGGACTGCCGTGAGGCCTAATATTAAAAATTTGAATAACAAAAGCACTGCTTTGTAACGTTCATGAAAGCATTGCATCAGCTCAAGAATATATTCTATATACCAAGACAACCATCTGACTATTTGGCCCTAAATAAGAACCGCATGAACCGGTTCCACTTACCTACAAATTCGACTTAAAAACAGACTTAGGGAACAGAACTTGTCTGTAACCTGGGAACTGTCTGTACCATTTGATTAAAGATTACATTAGATGTAATCCACTTTATGGTACATTTTCTAATGGGGACACTATTGTTTGAGCTATGTTCTCAAAATATACTTTTAAATGCTTAAACATTCATTTTGGATATATTAAGAAACATTCAGAAGCTGTTTAGGCAAAACTGCTCTTAAGTGTCTGAATTTTGATAATTCTACTTGCCTGAGGTTTATTTCAGGTCATAGCTTTCCTACCATGACATGTAACGTTCCATTGCAATTTTAGGGTCTGGAAAAATCTGGCTGGATGATTTGAATTGCACTGGTACAGAATCCTCAATCTTTGACTGCAGGGCCACAACAATTGGAACTCATAACTGCTCCCATAATGAAGATGCTGCTGTGTCATGCGTATAATATATAAATGTGTATTATATGTGTATTTGTATGTATGCATGCATGTATGTATGTATGTATGTGCATTTATATTTACATATACATATACATCATATTTTAAATTGCTTCTTCATTGCATTTTATTCCACCATTATTTTTTGCTAGGCTTTCTATACTGTTTCATATGTCAGGTCTTTACTTTAGTAAATTGCTCTATTGCTTACAAAGCCAGTTTTAATGCCCCCGTGTAAGCTCATTTAACCAGTGACATGCTTTTTAGATGTTTTTTTGGTTCAGCTATATTTTTTGTAATGCTTAAAAGGTTAATCAGATATGATACATTTCCATTGTGAGGAATTATTTAAAGAAGTAATATGGAAAGTGAATGCACCTTGATCTGTTTGGTGATAGTATTCGTAAAGTGATTCTAAAAAATAATAAAGGAAGAGTTCACATTATATTATTATATGGCTTTCCTTTCCCCAAAGTTTGCAGTGGTGACAGCCATATAAAAAAAACATTTCCGCAATAAAACCATGTTTTAGGCTAGGAGGGCTACATACACTTCTCTGAGAGAAAATTAGTGACACAAACCTGCATAATGGACAGCACAAACAAACAAATGATCTAGCACACTATATAACCATATTTTGACTAAGAATTAAGCCCATTACATCCATGATTTTAGGAAACCTACAATCACATCATCTGTAAACATCACAGTTATTACTGCACATAAAATGAAAAAGATTCACATATATTGGTATAAAGAGACAATATGACTTTATTATTGTAGCTATGACAACTAATCTACTGCATTAAAGAGTAAGGAACCACCCACTGATCAAAAAACAGAATCTAAAATGTACAGTCAAGGGCATAGATTGTGAGTAGATTTTTTTCCTGCATTTCTGAAAATGTTACTTATACTGAATTAAATCTCCACTTTGATTCAGTATTAAGTTAATCTAGGATCATTTTGATTTCGCCTACTTATAAACTCTTTCATTCTGGACTGTAATGTTGCACAGGATTTGCTTTTGGCTGATTCATTGATATCCACAGAAACAACGTGAAATCAGTTTTGGTCTCAGTTCAGGGACTAAAGGGAAGCTACAAATTAGCACAATATCAGCCTGTTTATTCAATCTAGCTCAGGGACTGCCTAAATTCAGTATATCTAATTGAGTCAAGTCAAGGCTACATGGTTACTCAGCATGTTTGATCAACTCAGGTCAGCGATTGATAGGATCTCAATACCTCTCATTTAGTAAGAGTTTGAAAGAAAATAGACAAAACATTTTTATTCAGGGATTTAATTGCAGTATGTCTAATAGACTGAACTGATAGATACATTTTAATACACCCCTGTGCCTTTGTAAAGCACATTGGATTGCCTTGCTTCGTAATTGTGTTATATACAGTAAGTGAACTTGCCTTGCCTTAGACTCAATGCCTTATGGCAGGTTATCAGTATCTGAAATAATGCTATTCACTATCAGTTTAAACTATCCAAGTGATTAACCAAACATATAGGGTCATTAGATTGTGACAATGCTCTTACAACTAACTTTCTAGTATTTAGCAATATAGGAATTGCGAAAAATGCACCACTGCCAAAAATGCACTAGATTTAGCAATTTTTCCTGCTCAGTAGGGGTTACGATGGGTGTAACTGGTATGCCAGAGTGTATGTGAGCTCAGCATTGGGGGAGCTAACTTGACAGTTCACCCTGAGGTGAAAAATAGTGCAGGACCAAAGGATTCTAGCATCACATATTTATGTGTCCAGCAGCCTTACAGTAGCTCAGGAATTACAAGTAAAATATACTTTCAATAATCTTGTTTATTGTTCAATACCAATAAAGATAAGCTTCATATTCTTTGATAATGGTAATAATATACATTTAATCAGGTGAATTGCCCTTTAAAAACCCATATAATTTTATATCAATGAAATTCCCCTCCTGCCTCATATAGAATCACCATCACAGCTCTTCTGCTGCAAGCATGCTTACTTAGCTAAACAATTTGAGCTCACAGTCATTTCTGTTTAATTAATGGTTCCACAAAAATCTAGTGAGTTACACTTCTGAAATGGATGTATGCAGAGCAAATGATTTTTGAGAAAATTCCAGCCCTAACATCTGACATCAGGAAGTTCTGGATGATGGTGTCCAGTACAATATTGAGTGTTATGTTATGGTAGGTGGGTAGTACGGTAGCTCAGCAAGTACCATTGTGCCTTCATTTTTGACCCCAATATTCTGTTTTGTCCTTGCAGTCCAAAGACATGTTCTTTCAATAAATTTGCACCTGAAAATTGCACATAGTGTGTGAGCGTGTTTCTGGCTTTTTTCCTAACATAATTATGCTTCAGGTTCACCATGACCTTGTACAAGATAAGTGATTATGGATGATGGTTATTATTATTATTACTACACATGGGTATTGCTCTTAAAAAAAATCAACTAATCGCACAGTTTTCTGTGATTAATTACAATTCATCGCACCTAGTATTAAAACTTCCATCTATCCATCCATCCATCCATTCATTTTCTATCTCTGATCTAGGGTCATGTCACAGGGGCAGCAGTCTAAGTAGGGATGCCTAGACCTCCCTCTCATCAGCCACCTACTCCAGCTCCACCAGGGAATACCAGGGTGTTCCCAGGCCGGGTAAAATCTCTCCAGCGTGTTCTGTATCTGCCCTGGGGCCTCCTCCCAGTTTGACATGCCTGCAACACCTGCCCGGATGCATTCAAGAGGCATCTCACTTAGATACCTGAACCACATCATCTGGTTTCATTCAATCCAGAGGAGCAGAGGCTCTACTTTGAGCCCCTCCTTAATGTCCGAAATCCTCACCCTATCTCTAAAGCTAAGCCCAGACACCCAGCGGAGGAAATTCATTTCTGCCACTTATAGCCATCATATCACCATCTTTGGCTAGATGCAAGTAAATCACGTGACAACTCCTGTTGGCCCAACTTGCTCGTTGTGAGCTTTCTTTTCCAGTAATACAAAGAAAGAAGCTGCTTTGGTGTTTGGTGCAAATTGCCTTACAGTAAATTATGTAGTAAAATATAATAACAGGGCCACCTGTCTCAAGTCTGCCACCATCATCCCTGTCCCTAAACAGGCAGCAGTCAGGACCCTGAATGACTACCATCCAGTGTCCCTGATCCCCGTTGTTATGAAGTGCTTTGAGCGGCTGGTCTTAGCATGCATCAAGAATAACACACAGTTGTGTTCAAAATAATAGCAGTCCGACATCACTAACCTGATCAATCACCGTTTTTGGTAGAAATTGTATTTCTACATGGCAAATAATTTACTAGTAGGTGTAGTAGAGTAATGGAAAACCAACAGACCCAACAGTCATGACATGCATGCTGCTGATTATGTGTAATAGAATCATTACTTGAAAGGGGCTTGTTCAAAATAATAGCAGTGTGAAGTTCAATTAGTGAGGTCATTCATTCTGTGAAAAAGTAGGTGCCAATTATGGGCCTTATTTAAGGAAGGAAGGCAGCAAATGTTGTACATGCTGGTTATAGTGCATTTCTCTCTGAAATTCTGAGTAAAATGGGTCATTCCAGACATTGTTCAAAAGAACAGCGTACCTTGATTAAAAAGTTGATTGTAGAGGGGAAAACATATAAAAAAAGTGCCGAAAATGATAGGCTGCTCAGCTAAAATGATTGCAAATGCTTCAAAATGGCAGCCAAAACCTAAAAGACGTGGAAAAAAACAAAAAACTACCATTCAAATGGATCGAAGAATAGCCAAAATGGCAAAGACTCAGCCAATGAACATCTCCAGGAAGATCAAAGAAGGTCTAAATTTACCTGTGAGTACTGTTACAATCAGATGACGCCAATGTGAACCCAAGCTATCTGCAAGAAGCCCTCGCAAAATCCCATTGTTGAAAAAAAGACGTGCTGAAGAGGTTACTGTCACGATCGCGGGGCAAGCGAGCCGGAAAGCAGGCGATCGGAGCCAGGAAGCAGGGTATAACGGGGATTTATTCAATGGACTGGGACCGGGGAATCACGACAAGCAACATCAATGACGAGTCTGGGGAAGACGGACTCAGACGAGGACTAAATACAAAAGACAAGCCACAGGTAACAAGCCACAGGTGAGAACAATCAGGGCGAAACAGGAGGTAACGAGGTGGGCGTGACACACATCAGGAGCGGACGGAGCGGGGCGTGACAGTTACAATACAAAAACAGAACACACTGACTGGCCTAAAGAGAAACGTTGCAACATTTTGTGGACTGATGGAAGCAAGATTGTTCTGTATGGGTTTAGTGGCCGCAGACAGTTTGTCAAATGACCCCCAAATACTGAATTCAAGCCACAGTACACTGTGAAGACAGTGAAGCATGGTGGTGCAAGCATCATGTTATGGGGATGTTTCTCATACTACGGCGTCGGGCCTATTTATTACATACCAGCAATCATGGATGAGTTTAAATACCTCAAAATACTTGAAGAGGTCATGTTGCCTTATGCCGAAGAGGAAATGCCCTTGAAATGGGTGTTTCAACAAGATAATGACCCCAAACACACCAGTAAACAAGCAACATCTTGGTTCTAGACCAACAAGATTGGCGTTATGGAGTGGCCAGCCCAATCCCCGGACCTTAATCCAATAGAAAACTTGTGGGGTGACATCAAAAATGCTGTTTCTGAGGCAAAACCAAGAAATGTCGTCCAATCAGGCTGGAATACCTGTTCACAGGTGCCAGAAGTTGGTCGACTCCGTACAACACAGATATGCAGCATTTCTCAGAAACAGTGGTTATACAATTAAATATTAGTTCAATGACTCAAAGGAAAGCAAAATCTTAAAACATTTTTCAGTTCATACAGTGAATCTTTGAGTTTGTAAAGAAGAATGTGGACACTGCTACTTTTTTGAACAGCCTAGTATTCCCTTTCCTTCACTTTCTGTAAAAGAATAACACAAATGTGATAAATTTCTCTCCTTGTTTTGATTTGGAACAGATTTTTTAGTGCTCCCATGCATTTGCATGTATGGAAATAAAAACTATTATAAGGATTTTCAGCTTTATTCACTTTTTTAGACACACTGCTATTATTCTGAACACAACTGTACCTCCCTCTCTGGACCAACACCAGTTTGCCTATTGGTCAAACAGGTCAGCTGTGGACACTATTACACTGGCCCTCCACACTGTCATATCACACCTGGAGCAGCAGGACAGCTACGTGTGGATGCTATTTTTTGACTACAGCTCCGTCTTTAACACTATCCCCCCCACCATGCTGGCCATCCATCTGCACAACCTTTGACTGGACACAGACCTATGCAACTGGGTCTTGGACTTTCTGAACAAGAGACCACAGACAGTGCACATGGGTAACCACACCTCCACCTCCATCACTCCCAACACAGGAGCACCTCAGGGCTGTGTGCTCAGCC